GTGCCGAGGACTCGTTTCTCACGATCAACGTCAACAGCAGAGTGCTCTATGAGAAATTATACTGGTAAATAGGTGATTTTCGGCTATTGGCGTTAAAAGGAAGTGACTAGAGCCAATGTAAAAACGAGATGTAAACCAGCAGACTGCCCAAGATAGATATTTTCAAAGTGAAGACACCTCTCAAAATGTTCTTCCTTATCTCACCTGATGAGTCCTGCCTCTTACACATTGCTTCAATCCCAGCAGCGCAGAATGTGTGGGAGGGAAACGGGTCAGCAAAGATACCTGTGTCTGTGCAGTTATTAGGGGGGAGATGATCTTCAAAAGACCTGGTTTGGGAGTCAAGAATAAAAAGTGTGAAACTTTGCAATTCAACCTTATGGCTAAATAATTCCCAACCTGTTAAAGGCAGAGGAGCCGTCTGTCCTTGTGAATGCACGTGAACTAGCCACCACCTTTGCATCGGAGAATCACAGTCTGTCCTAACACCTGTCCCACATTGCTGGAACGTTTACAAGCAGAAAAGGCTTTTGCACATCTGGAGGGCAGTCCTTGGTCATTGCTGAAAAAGGGAAGCAACAAGAGATCTTTCAGAAAATCCAGTGTCTAGCTCCATATTGAAAAGACTTGAAGACAACAGGACTCAAAGTCCACTGAAGCCTGGCCAATCTCTTCCCTCCAGGGTTGCTGTTTCCGAATTGCACTTTGGGAACTTGATGAAATTCAGCTGAGATATACGGGGACGAAGGAAGAGTCCCTGCAAAATAAAGTGATGGTTCTGGATTGCTCGAGTCTGCAGAGGAGGCTGAGTTTGTATCATGCTGACACTAGGGCAACCACAAGTAGAGTTCGGCTTGTTGGGTATCTCTGAGCATAGATAGTCACGCACACTTTAATGATCTGTAATAAAAATGTACCTTCCACACTACTTGTGATCATCAGGAAGTTATTTATGGTAATTTCACTATTATGCTGCTCCTAATGTTTCTGCCGTATTTTAAATATCATTATCCCTCAAAGTCTTTTTTTCCCGAGAATACTTTCCTTCTTTTTCTATACATTAGCTATTCCATCAGCATCATCCGGTTTTACTGTCATGTAAGATACCTAGTGCAACAACTCTTCTTTCATTTTGTAACGAATGGCACAATTAAGATTTAATTAGAAGCATATGAGTAAGGAAATGACATTGCTACCCAGGACCTTACATGTGATAGCATTCAATCACGCAAGTACAGCTTTTCCCTGCAAAAGGAGAAAAATACAGAAACTTACTCCTGGCTGGATCTTTTCAGACTGACATGATGATTGCCGGCTCACAATTAATTGTTTTCTAGTTATGATTCTAAAAAGACAGCATGCATTTTTTTTTTTCACAGCAAAAATGTTGACAGGTGCATGGAAACGGCATTTCTCTGTGCGCTGGAATCAGAGAAAGGATGATGTGCAAACAGGTGAGGTCTAAGCAAATGTCATGTGGTGCTGGTTATGGTTTCTATCATACTCTCTTTTATGCTTACAGGAGACAAAACCCTCAGCCTGAAAAGGGGGTTTCTTTCCTCTCAGGAAGGCTGGTGGTGATAAACCGGAGGGAGAGTTAGCTGATGGAGCCCTGTCCCTGTGTTTTCTGTATATATGATTGGAAAAGGGGAAATTAATCCTGGCTTTCTGGCTACATATCCCAGGTCCCTCAGTTCTTATCGCTGCTCCCAGAGCCACCCATGACTCCTGCACCCAGCTTGCTCTAGTAGAAGGCTGGAGTCCTCACCAGAGGCTACAGTAGTCACCAACCTTCAGGAACATGAAGCTATGGAAAAACAACCTGCAACTATGATTATGGAAAAGGTATTTTCTTTAAGGAAGAGACCTGCTGGATAGGTGTTTGGGGCAGCAGTGGTCAGAAGAGCAACCTCTGATTCTTGTGAGTCTAAAGTTCTGAATTTTTACTTGGTGATAGCATTTCCTTGTGCTCATATAGAGGACAACGCTGTTTGCGAGTGTGTGCTCACGTTTCAAGTGCCCGACCTTCTTTGATTCCCAGGCAGCCAATGCACTTTAATTGCTACAGGCTGGAGGACAGGATTTGGCGTCTGAGTTGCACATCTTCTGGTGAAGTTTGGGGTTCTTCTGAAGGAAGACCTGAAATGATTTTGAATTGCAGTGCCAATATCACTAAACTGCTTTTTCTTCTAATTTGTTATCTTGCTCATTCTTCATAATTCAGAGTGTGAGACTCTGTCTTCTTGCGCTGATTGAAAAGTTTTTAATACTCTTTGCTATGTACATAGAAAAGTAATATTTCAACGGGACTGTGCTGACAAGCACTGTTGCTCGGGCTGGTCAGGAATATGCCAGCCAGGTAAGGGTTTGTCAAACATTTTTAAACCAAGGCTCACACAATCTTTCTGCATAAAAATGTGCTCAGACCAAATGCAGCAAGGCCATGATGGTTTTCACCTACAACCGAACAAAAACAGGACTGTCTGTGACAATCATTTATGTAATTTGTTTGCTTCCCCTCAAGTTGATTTTCTTGGATGTGATGGGGATATGTGTGATATCGCCTCGTTTTCTGGTGCTTCTTTGACATATGCACATATTTACACTCCCCTCCTTGTTCTGCCCTTTCACTAAAACATCAGTCTTCAAAGGTGACAAGAAAACCTGGAAAAGGGGCTTGGTTCTCAGCTCACAGCGGTGTCGCTCAAGAGACAGATCGCTGAAATCTGCACCACACGAGCAGAGAGGGGAATCAGGTTCCCAGCTCCACGCTGGTTATTTTCCCTGGCTGATGGGGCATCTCAGCAAATTCATCAAGCTGGCATGGGAAGTCACTCATCCTTCACTGCGCTACACTGCTTCATTGCTAAGAGAAGACTCTTGCCACCGCCTGATTTTATATATATTCTTTCCTGGCAGTCAACCACATTTTGATGTGGTTTTGGAATAACTAGTACTATATAAAAACATGTGAATTCTGATGCCTACTGCTCACAGAGACCAAATCTTGCTTGCTTTAGTCATGATGATGGCTACTTCAGTGAGATTGAGTAGAAAGTTAACGGCAGCACTTTTGTAAGAAATCTAATCAGGTTTGCTTGGCAGCCAAGTTCGATGTTGATTTCTGCCTGATAACAGAATGTATCTATTTTCACAAAACAGCTCTGGACCATGCAAACCTACTGTTTCTAACTAAAGCTGAAAAGGTTGTCTGATTTCTGATTTTGCTTTGTAAAGTTGTGCTTAATGTTAATGAAAATAAGAAGGTATTTACTGAATAGATGCATTTTTTACAAATCTTCAGAAAAAAAAAGAAATTTTTGTATTCATCTTAAATCTCGCATATTTTAATCTCAGACTCTTAAGTAGTTCTCTCTCTCTCTCTCTCTCTCTTTTTTTTTTTTTAGAGTCCAGTTTTCCCTCCACAGACGAATACATTCTCTTGAAGGAGATGCAGGAAAACATCTCTCTTGACTTGTGCAGATAAAGTTCCAGCCACCAAAAAACTCTCAGCTTGTCCTTCCGAGGGACAGGGATGGTCCATAGGAGGGAGGGCACTGCTGAGGAGGCTGCTTCTGCGATGTAGAAGGCTCTGCTGCTCTATCAACCTCTGGGATCCGGCTGTTCTCATCCAGTCCGTAGGCAACTCTTGGTCTGGAAACGCAGAGGGCCTTTCCAGACCGGGGCCGTGGTAGGAGGGTTTATGAGAGCCCGTGGCTCTGTGCACTGGCCCTCTCTGGAGGAAATTCTAGATGTGGGGCAAAGCGTGGCTTGAGCGGCGATGTGCACGAATGCTGCTGCCCTCTCCTGGGTGCATTCAGCGAGACAAGACCCGTGTGGCCTCGGTGCTCTCCCCCGGCCGCGCCAACGGAGCAGGGCCTGGGCACGACGCAAGGCCTTGGCCCCGGCGTGCTGGGCACTGCGCGGATACACGGCAGTCTGCATCCCAAACCTGAGGAAACAGGGATTGCCCAGGGCGGGCAAGGGGAGACCGAGGGACACGGCAGAGGCCATGGGTTCCTGCTGCCAGCTCTGGGCTCCGGCTGCTGCGCTCCTTTAGCCTGGGCACGCAGCAGGGCCCCGAGGACAGGCGGTTACCCCTGTCCCACCAAGCAGCTTCACCCTCCAGCGTGGTGGCCTCGCGCAGGCTGCCTGCTGGGCACAGGCCCTGCTGGGAAACACCGTGCTCCGTGCGGGGCGATATCGCCTGGCCTCGGCCCACACCTTGGCAGGGCCTGCTCTAAAACTGGACAGTGGGACCAAGTCAAAATGTCATGCCCAAATACAAGCCCTCTCCCTGTTTAACTTTCAATGCAGACATAGCCTAAGAGAAATATCCAATCCATTCTTTTTTATTTGTTTCTGTGTGTCATCCCTGGGAAGTGGTTTCTACTGGCTTTCATCGACTGCTTTGAGAGCCATCTCTTGGGATCTGAGCCCATTCAGAGAAGTTAGATGCTGGGGGTTGCACTGTTTGCCTGCCCGAGGGCATTTTCATAACCACTGATACAGCTGTGTTTTTACCTGGCAGTATAAATCCGTCTCAGACACTCCATTTGATAATTGTTCCATATGATCTCATGACACTTATTGCAATATTGCAAAAGTCAATACTGGATGGATCAGATCAAGCTGAGATGATCAAGTTGGGCACAGCTGGAGAGCCAGTTCACGCAGCACTGGCCGCTGGGCGACTGGCGAGATGACCGGGCTGCTGTCACTGTTCCTGCCTCTCGTCGCACTCACACGTCACCACCCCACCACCGCTGCGTCAGCCCTCCTGCCCAGGAGGCAGGACCGCTCCTGCCCAGCTCTGTTTTCCCTCCTGCTGAGCAGGTACCCGCTAGCTAATGGCTCATTATTCCTGAAGGCATCACTGTAAGGAGCCGCAGGGCTCTGTTCAGCCTTTTTGGTGTATCTTACCAGAGAATTAAAAAGTCACAACACAACCAAAAGCCCTTGGAAACCACTGAGAAGATCTTCAGTGACATGGGATAGACATGGGGGTCAAGACGCTACCAGATACAGATCTCAGCAAAAAGGTAGGTGCTACATGGTGAAAAGGTACCTGTTATTTTAACTCAATCCTTCTGATGTGTAAAAAAAATTTTGGTGACTGTATTTTTATCGAGAAGAGACTATGGGAATGTAGATACGCAGGTGCGAAGGAGGGCACCCAAAGCTAGCGGCATCAGCCAGCCCCGCGGCTCCGCTTGGCAGCACGTGCCCCCCCACGGCCCTGCCCTGGGGACGAGGGTCCCCCACGGCCCTGATGACCAAGTGTCCCCTCACGGCCTTGTCCTAGACACGAGTGTCCCCTCACG